TCTGGACGCAGTCAACACTAGCCCTGCCACCGTCGCCTGGGACAACAATTGGGAGTTCTGTATACGATTAGTCACTCCTTCTGGTGACTTCTGTCTTCTACCTGGGGATTTGATCTGAGGATTGCAGTGATCCGAGTACACCCACCACTTAGACTACTACATATGGAGGCTTTATGTGCTTCCCCGCCCCTCGCGAGCAGGAAGCGCCCGCAAACCTTTGGTTTGGAGCTAAATTCCAGGGTAATCACGACTGGATTGAAGGTTAAAAGTAGGCTTACAGTTCATACTTTGGTTGGGGCAACTGAATATTTACCCTGTAGGGAAAGGACCTTCCTACGCCAGTTTTAGGTAAAACGTATGAGTAATGTCGACCTTGTCCTGCATCGAATGTGGCCGAAACGAATACAGGCCGACGCCGCTATCCTTCATCAGGTATGTCCAGAACGTCAGCTTATTACTTAAAGGCTCTTGAGCTAGTCACTGACGGGGGCCAGCCCAGAAGAGGGAGGCGTTTTAGAATTGATGAGGTTTTTGAAACTAGTCCAGCCTCCAGAATATGTGGACAACGCCAGGTTTCGTACCATTGGTTTGCTTCTCGGATCAGGAAGCCTATACAAGATCTCGCTGGAGGACAGTAATAGGTTTTCTGTACCGCGAGAGTTTAATCACTCAGCTAACTGTCAAGGTCACTGATGCTCATAGTGTTTTTCGCTTCCTTCGCTGCAGCTAATGAAACCACACGGTCCACAGAAGGGAGCCTTCGAGAAGGCGACCAAATTCATTGGCCCGCCAACAGCGACTGCGACAGAATACGTGCGCCGCGACGAGGGCAACTTCGAGGAGATTGCACGACAGGCCGAGGAAGTGGCTGCCAACAAGGAGGCCGATTACGAGAGACGGGCCGAGGAGGCGAATATCCTGCTGAACCAGGAAGAAAACATCTGGGTAAGTTGTTGTTGGTGTTTTTGGTATTCGCTCCCATCGCTCCCTGCCCCGCCCACCCCTTTCTCATCAGCTCAACCCTACGGCTACCGAGCTCTTAAGTCTACCCAGGCACCGAATGAGCACCGGCCATAATACAGTTAGTTTCGTGTCAAAAATGAACCCTCAGATGAGTGCGCTTTGCCTCTTTTAAGGGATTCTGAACAACTTTGTTGTGGGAATAGTTCAGTATGTTTAGGGTAGTAGGCAATGCCTTTGAAGACCCTATTGAAAACAGTATGCATAAGATATCCAACATAAAATATGTACACTGGTACAATTTTATATTTGTTTGTGTGCCAATGTGTCGGTGACTGCTGACAACGCTTTCATGTAATTCCTTCATGCTTGTGTTGTCGACTGCTGTTACCTGGACCTACCGTAACCCCATAGATGGAGATATCTGCTGTTTAAACCAAATCCTCCGACTCCAAGACTAATCGAAGTCCAGCCCGAGGCCTTCCAAGCACGCTTGAACTGCAGTCTGCAGTTGAATAGCTGTTGGTCTAAGGTCCCGCTCGTTGGCAGAATGAGACCATGAGGCTTACTGTACACGCGCCCAAAATAAAAGCCAACAGTTCTCACTAAATGAAATTCATCAATTAAAAACCTAAATTCAAAGCGATTCATTGATTATGCTAAAACAATAACCTTTTGAATGGCCTTTGACTTTCCTCCTCAACAGCTGGTTCACCACCGTTCCGTAAAGGTTTGCATATTGACGTTGTTTACACAAAATCGATAATAAGCAGAAGAAGACGCAACCGCTGAGACAAGACTCTTATTCGCCTAAAGTGTCAAAATCCGTCGCGGTATCGACAGGTTTTAAGGCGAAGAAAGTTAACCGTAACAGCTACGATCTTCCAGGCCCATGGTTCCTTTAGCTGAAGAGAAAAGACGGTGGGAAGGCCAGAGTTGAAGGAAGAATGTATTGTGTACACAACCGTTAGAAGAATGTGGCCAATCGGTCTGGCATGGCCAAGTGAGCCGCGTGAGTGCGCGGCGTCACGCCCGTCCCCCTCAGAGGGGAATCCTAAGTGTCCGTAAGTGCAGGAATTGTCCGTGATTGGCCCAGAGCGCTTCAGGCCGCTGATTGGTCGGCCAGT